AAACAATCCAGGCAAAACAGCAGCTTCTCAACCAGCTCAGCCATGGAGATACAGAAGATGGGAACCTCCATGTGGGTTTAGCACCACGTGTTGTGTATGAACCAGACCCCTCCCAGAATAGCACCTTGTCCATCCAAACTGGGGTGGGTGGTGGGCTCTGCCCACAGACAGGGCTCCACAGCTGACATGGAGAAGAGAAGCAGCGTTTCAAGGAACAGGAACAAGAAAAGCACAAGCCCAAGGCTGGAACACGAGCTCTGACAAAGGGCCACAGCACTTGGTGTCTGAGACAGCCCCCAAAAGGGAGAGGGGGGACTGGGTGCATCTGTGGAGGGATGCACCCAAGGTGGGAAATCCCCCAGGTATTGAAGTCAGCAAACACACAGCTTGCCAGAGTAGCTTTATTCTTAATATTTTTAAGGAGTCCATTCACCCTGTGCCCATCAGGGACAGAACTGCTCCTTTCCAGGTTCACCCAAAGGTGAAGCAGTTGCAGCTGCTAAGAGAACAGGATGCTTTTTGTGACTGTCTGATGAAGCTTTTTCCCTTCAAATTCCACCTCTGAAACATCTTTTGTGGACAGTGGAGACCACGTGAACACTGGGTAAATGTGCTGTCACTGGCAATCTGCCCCAGACACGAGTCATTACAATACCAACCTTTTTGAGACCTTTTTAATCTCCCAACTTGTCATCAGGACCAGCCCCTCCAGCCAATATCGAGTCTATTTTAACAGGTGTGTTATTGCAAAGTAAAAGACACTCACAGCTCACAGTGATCTTGCAACAAGCAGAGAGAAGGGGATTGTTTATATCCACTATGGGTCATTATGAAAAGCTGACTTAGTGATTAATCAATCTTTTGCAGAATAAAATAAAATTATTTCAATTATTTCACTATCAATATCTGCAGGTTCAACTAAAATTAAAGGGATACAACATCCTTTGCTAATGTCTTCTGAAAAGACTTCCTTGTATTTAATTGTGACTTGTCTGAAATTGTCATTTCTTTCCCAGGAAACCTGGTCAAGATTAAGTGAGCCACAGCAAAAAAAAATGTACCAGAGCCCACAGAATAAACTATTTACACCTTCCAACTGAAGACTGGTTTTTGAGAGACAGCTGGAGTCATAGATAGAAAGATGATCTGTACTCTCTAGTTTTGAGACCCTGCTCTCATCCATTAGGCTTCTGCTGATAACAATTAATACTGTGTAAGTTACAAGACTTCAAGGACTACAATACACTTATAAGCCTGAAACCCAAAAACCTGAAGCCATGAAGGCATATTTGAAATTCATCCTATGTTATGTGCCACCTGAACTTAGGAGTAAAAATCCAAAGAATGACAGCATGTCAGGACTTGGAAGGGACCTCCAAAGATCAGCGAGTCCAACTCCCCTGCCAGAGCAGGACCCAAACCAGGGCAGGTCACTCAGAAAGGCATCCAGACAGGGCTGGAAAGTCTCCAGAGAAGGAGACTCCACAACCTCTCTGGGCAGCCTGTCCCAGGGCTCTGTCACCCTCACAGGAAAGAAGTTCTTCCTCATCTTGAGGTGGAACTTCCTGGGCTCCAGTTGGAATCCATTGCAGCAAAGAGATTAATTACGCCACCCCATCAAAACAAACAACAAAAAGAAAAGAAAAACCAGAGCAAAATGGTTGCAATCTCCTTTTTACACACCTCCTGAGCAGGTGACACAGCACGATACAAAGCACAGAGGGATGAGCCCTGCAAAACCATTCTGCATGGAACTTGAGCTGTCCATCTCCAGTCCAGCTGGCTAGAAGACCTGCAGCCTTTTCAGGTCCTATGCTTGTTTTCCAAGTGTCTGTGTGTGTGTGGATCTGCAGAACTGAGTGAGCACACAGAGTGACTATAATCCCAAGCTAAGCAGTGACTCAGTCTTTTAATGCAAGCAGCAATTTTCTGATTATAAACCTCCTTCCCAGTCACTCTCCAAGTACACTTGGGCTGACCCAGCTCTTGGCCTGTGTCTGCATTACCCTTCTTTGTTCCTCCTCTGCATCAGCAAACAGTTTCCGGATGTTGGCCTCGGATTCCCCCACGTATTTATTGAGGATTTCTGGCCCATTGACCACCTTTGGTTCCCTGGCATTCAGCATCTTGCCAATCTGTCTGGCCATAAGTGTTTTACCACAGCCTGGAGGTCCATACAAGAGGATGCCTTTCACATGCTTGCAGCCTGGAACAAGAGAAAAGAACATCAGAAAGCAGCTTCAGGATGGAAGCAGCCATCAAGTGATCACAGAATCACAGAACAGAGCCACAGAATCATACAGGTTGGAAAGGACCCTCAAGATCATCAAGCCCAACCACCCACCCCACAACCCCCAACCACTAAACCATCTCCTGAAACACCACGTCTGCCTGTTTGATGAACATCTCCAGGGATGGTGCCTCCCCCACCTCCCTGGGCAGCCTGTTCCAAGGCCTCACCACTCCTTCTGGGAAGAAATTGTTCCTAATATCCTGACTGAACCTCCCTGGTGCAACCTGACCCCATCTCCTCTTGTCCTATCACTGGTCACCAGGGAGAAGAGCCCAACACCCACCTCACCACAACCTCCTCTCAGGGAGCTGTAGAGAGCAATGAGCTCTCCCCTCAGCCTCCTCTTCTCCAGGCTGAGCAGCCCCAGCTCCCTCAGCCTCTCCTCATCAGACCTGTTCTCCAGACCCCTCAGCAGCCTGGTTGCCCTTCTCTGCCCCCTCTCCAGCACCTCCATGTCCTTCCTATCCTCGGGTGCCCAAACCTGCACCCAATGCTCGAGGTGCAGCCTCACCAAGGATGAGCAGAGGGGCAGGATCACCTCCCTGCTCCTGCTGCTCACACTGTTCCTGATGGAGCCCAGGATGCTGGTGGCCTTCTTGGCCACCTGGGCACACACTGGCTCATGTTCATCCAGCTGTCAAGCAGCACCCCCAGGTCCCTCTGCTGGGCAGCTCCAGCCACTCCTCCCCAAGCCTGAAGCACTGCTGGGGGTGGTTGTGGCCCAAGTGCTGTACCCAACTTTTGGCCTTCTTGAAGCTCATGCCATTGGCCTTGGCCCAAGGTCAAGCCTGTCTAGACCCTCTGCAGAGCCTCCTGCCCTCAAGCAGATCTGCTAAGAACCTCTAGAACCTTCAGCCCAAAAAGCCACCTCTGTAACGAGACAGACCTGAAAAATTCTAATTGAGTCAAATATCAGGACTTTGATCACTGTGCATGAGCTCTGGCAGTTAAATTCAGAAACAAGAAGGCACAACAGGTGGAGGACAATGCTGGACACCACCCATTTATCCTAAGGGTGCACAAAGCTCCTGAGAGGGGCTCCCAAGTGTGAACAAGAAAGGTTTCCCTGAAGGATTTGTGGAATTTTAAACATATAAAATTTACAACTTGTGAGCCCCCAGGCACATTTTATCAACTGTCTGAATATCCTTCAGCCTGAATATTTGACGCTCTGCCTCATGCTCTGCTAAAAGAGGTTGTGGTGCCAGCACATGTCAACAGTGAAGTTTGGTTTATTCATCTCATGGGACTATCAGCATCTATCTAACCAGAAAAAGTAGCTGTATCAAGACAGAACCTTTTTCCTGGGAGCAATCTGAAATAGGAGAGCAAAAGTCATTTTGAACAGTGAGCACCAGACTCGGGGAGAGCCTCAAAGGAGCAGAAAGGCAAAGGTTCACAGCAGAGGCTCCAACTACAAAACCAGTGCAGGGAAATTAAAGCTCCCTAGAGAAGACAAGACCCAGCTCAAACGCATGTACAGGACTGGTTCAGGAGCAGAGCAAGTCTGGATATTGGCTGGTCACAAAGTGGTGAGGAAACAGGACAGAGAAATATAGAACTTATTTTGTCTAGGCCTTTGCATTTCCAACAGAATTCCTTCTTCTATTTTCCAGCTGATATTGAAGACCAAATTGTACAGACAAAACTACAAGTGAAAAAATGTATTTTCAATATTCAGGACACAGCAGGAGTTTGTTTCTTCCCTCTTATTCAGGAGTTTATTTCTTCCTATGCAGTTTCAAGCACAATAAAAAAAACATTAGTTCCTCACTATGTCTCTTTACTTGGAAAAGCAAGGTGTGCAGAGAGCAATACCCTCTCCATGGACCCTGGATCTCATCCTCATGTTTCAGACCATGCTGGCCACCCACAGCATCAACAAGTGGACAGATTCCTGCATCTGCTGCCCTTCCTCTAGAGTGCTCACTCATGTCACCATCATCCTCACTGACCAGAGCAGTGAGGACATCCTGAGGAAAAAGACCTTGAGGAAGGTGTTACCTCTGCACCCTGTGGCAAAACTAGCACCTGTGAAATCTGCCTCCACAAAGATCTCGACCTGGAACACAAGAGGCAGGGAATCCAGGAATCCTGCTCTCTTGCTCCATCTCATTGCTGAACAAGATCCCTACACAAGTGCTCCAGAGACCCACTGGGGGACACAAGATACCACTATTTTTTTGAAGATTAAAAAAAAACCTGCCTTGTTTCAAGAAAAATTAGAAATCTTGATGAATTAATTGTTTGAGAGGAAAAAGCAAGACATGAATTAGTGGAAACTGTTCCATGCTGTAGATTACACCCATAAAAGATTTGTTTTACCCTACACTCCTGCAGTTGGAGTTTTTAAGGATGCCAACCACCCAGCCAGGGTCCTGCAGAGCTTAAGATTCACACTAAGAAAAAATTCAGAAAGTAGCAAAGTGTTGGCCCAGAGCTCAGCCTTGGAGGACATGAACTCAGTTTTTGCCATCATCAAAGTTTAACAAGCTTGGGCACACCAAGTCACTTGTCACCCAGGTGGACTGACTTCCCTGCTGGCCCCTAGGCTGTCTCAGCTCCATGCTAAGTTCACCCCACACTCCAGAGTCCTCATGGCTGCACAGACCTCACAGCAATGCCCTGCCTCTAAGAACAAGTGCTTTTCTCCTTTATTAATCTACCAGCACTCAACTGTGATTTCATTTACTCCTGAGTATTATAGGGAGAAAGAATTCATTTCCTTCTAAGCATCTGCTCAAGACACAAAGATTTCCATCACCTGCAGGTGCTGCTGGTTCTCCCTTTCAGGTTGTTCACACACTGAAATGAAGTTTTAGGAGAATATTTCTGTGAGAAGCACCTGATCTCTACCAAAACCCCAGAGAGCAACAAGGCAGCACTGATTAAACACAGCAATAAGGCTGAAAGATCACAGAATGATAGAATCTGCTGAGTTGGGAGGGACCCATCAGAATCATCAGGTCCAACTCCTGTCCCTGTGCAGGGCACCCCAAGAATCACCCCATGTGCCTGAGAGCATTATCCTAAGGCTTCTGGAACTCAGGCAGGCTTGGTGCTGTGACCACTGCCCTGGGGAGCTTGTTCCAGTGCTCAACCACCCTCTGGGGGAAAAACCTTTTCCTGATATCCAACCTAAACCTCACCTGATGCAGATCTTTCTGGGCTTCTCTGTAAATAAAAAAAATACTACAAAAATCAAAGAGATCTAGCTAAGAAGAACTGAATTGTCAACTTCCAGGCATTTAGGAGTGAAACATAAACAATTACAGACTGTCAGGAAAGACAAATCTCCCACAGGAACAAATGAGGAACAGATCAATTAAAAGCTATTCCTGTCACACCAATGTCACAGAAGGTATTGTCAAGGTTTTCTGTGGGGGAACATGATCAGCTCTGTAGCCAACAAGCACAAAGCAGGATTTGGATGATGAGTGATCCTCTGAAGGGAAATCTCAAGCAACCTGATGCCCAGACAGCTCCATGTGCTCCAGAGAGGCTATGGAAAGGCTACCAGCAAGTTGGGGCACATGTAGATAAATAGGCCTGGGAGCATCTTGAAAGCAGCAGGTAAATTGTACCACAGAAGATCTTTTTTCTCACCTTCAAAACAGAAGTACAGATACAGTGTCCTCATTTTTTTCTACTTTACCTGCAATTCACAACCTCTCTCCTAGAAGGAGGTACAACCCAGTTATATCCACTGAGAGCTTCTCTTCCACAGCCCAAAAAACCCCTGAAGTTCTTGAAGAGCCCAAACGTTCCACCCCCCTGCATGAAGAGAGCAAAGGGCTTCATGAGGCTGGAGCTTCCTCTGCCATAGTGGGAGCACAAGGAAAGCAAAAGGCAAACTGGCAGGGTGACATCTGGAGAACTCTGAGGAAACAAGACCTTGGACAAACTTGATTAGAAACCCTCCTAGCATCTTCCCCCTCTTCCTATTCAAACTTACTTATGAGGCAGTGTCATCTCTTATGGAATCATGGAATTATTTTGGGTTGGAAAAGGCTTTAAGCTCATCCAGCCCAACCCTTCCCCCAGCCCTGCCCAGGCCACCCCTGCCCCGTGTCCCTCAGCACCATCTCCAGGGCTTGGAAACCCCTCCAGGGATGGGGACTCCCCCCCTGCCCTGGGCAGCCTGGGCCAGGCCCTGACAACCCTTGCCAGGGAGAAACTGTTCCCAAGGTCCAACCTCAGCCTCCCCTGGCACAACTTGAGGCCGGTTCCTCTGCTCCTGCCCCTTGTTCCTGGGGAGCAGAGCCCGACCCCCCCTGGCTCCAACCTCCTCTCAGGCAGCTGCAGAGCCAGCAGGTCTCCCCTCAGCTCCTTGTCTCCAGGCTGGACACCCCCAGCTCCCTCAGCTGCTCCTGCTCACACTTGTGCTCCAGCCCCTTCCCCAGCTCCCTTGCCCTTCCCTGGACACGCTCCAGCCCCTCCGTGTCCTTCTTGTCCCCAGGGGCCCAGAACTGACCCCAGGATTCCAGGTCTGGCCCCACCAGTGCCAGCACAGGGGACAATCCCTGCCCTGCTCCTGCTGCCCACAGCACAGCTGGTACCAGCCAGGATGCTGGGGCCTTCTTGGCCACCTGGGCACACATTGGCTCATGTTCAGCCTCTGTCAATCAACCCTCCCAAGTCCTTCACTGATGGTCAGTAATAAAAAATAATTATTTTATTTTTTTTTTAAAAAGCAGAAAAAAAACCACAAACAAAAAATGAACTGCTGAAAGGACAGAAGCTGTTGCTGGAAGAATAAAGACAGAAGGCTGGTCAACACTAGGCCACTGCTCCAGCTGCCTGCCAAAGCCCTCAGCTGTACCATGCCACCAGCTACCCACCCCTCTAGAGCAAAAATGCCAGCTCTGGGACACAGCAGGTTCCCAGAGACAAGGTGATCACTGTCCAATCTG